GGGGTCTCTGGGGGGCTCTGGGGTCAGTGGGGCCAGCTCAGAACTGCACGGCCCCGCTGGGGTCACACTGCAGCAGGCGCACGATGGACGGGTCACTCTTGGCCCCTCGGATGAACTCCTCCARCGAGAGCATCCCTGTGGGGAAAGGAAACAACTCAGCCACTGCCCACCACCAGGAAACATCCAGAAAATATCCAAAACTGCCCCAAAAATAAAAAAAATTATCAAAATATCCAAAATCACCCCAAAAAATAAAAAAACACCTTAAAACATACAAAATCTGACCAAAAAAAACAAAAAACAAAAAAAACCCTAGAACCATAAAAAACTGCACAAAGAACAAAAGAAAAACACTCTAAAAATATCCAAAACTGCCCCGCAAAAAAAAATCATCAAAACATCCAAAATCACCCCAAAACCAAAAAATACCCACCTGAAAACCATCATAAACTTCACAAAGAAAAAAAAACCACCCTGAAAATATCCAAAACTGCCCAAAACATCCAAAATCTGCCTAAAACAAAAAAAACACCTCCTAAAACCATCAAAACCTGCCCCAAGAAACAAAAACACCCTAAAACATGCAAAATCTACCAAAAAAAAATTTTAAAACCATCCTAGAAATATCTAAAACTGCTCAAAAACCAAAAAAAAAAACACATTAAGACATCCAAAACTGCTCAAAAAACACACAAAAAACATCCAAAACTGCTCAGAAAACAAACAAAAAACACCCTAAAAACATCCAAAACTGCTCAACAAACAAACGACACCCTAAAAATACCCAAAATGCCAAAAAAACAAACAAAAACCACCCTAAACCCATCCAAGACTGCTCAAAAAACAAACAAAAAGCACCCTAAAAACATCCAAAACTGCTCAAAAAACAAACAAAAAACACACTAAAAACATCCAAAACTGCTCAAAAAACAAACAAAAAAACACCCTAAAAACATCCTAAACTGCTCAAAAAAACAAACAAAAAACACATTAAAAACATCCAAAACTGCTTAAAAAACAAACAAAAACCACATTAAAAACATCCAAAACTACTCAAAAAACACCCTAAAAATATCCAAAACGCCAAAAAACCACCCAGGATGGACGCCCTGGGGTGTCCAGCACCCTGAGCCCCTCTGGCCACTGTGGCCACCGCAGTGGTCACTCCAGTGGCCACAGCGTGCGTGCAGCTCCTCCGAAGAGCCCAGATTTAGCCGTGAGACCTTGCCCTAATCCCCCGGCGCTCGTCTCATTTACCGTCGTTATTAGTGTCCATCTGTCGGAAGATTTTTTCCGTCCGTTTCTCCGGGGTGGATTCATCTTCGGGCATGTTCATCACCGACGAGACCATTTTGTAGATGGCCTGGCGGAGGGACAATGGGGTGACAATGGGGACAGTGGGGATGGTGGCATTGCTCACCCCGGACAGGGCCAGAGATTTGGGTTTTGCTTTTCTGGGAATGGGGTTGGCGTTCAATGTTTTTCCCGTGGGATTGGGGGGTCAGATCCCAGCACAGCCAGGGAGGAGGTGACCACCGGGATGGCACCGTGGTGGCCGTGAAAGTCACCTCTCAATGCCACCAAGTTGGGGTTTGGGCAAGGAAAGCATCTCTGGCCAATTTGGAAGAGCCACAGGATGGGGTGACAAAGGGACATCCCCAAGCAGAAAAGGATTCGGGATAAGGATTTGGGATAATCCAGGATGAGCTGATCCCCGATAACAGCAACAAAACCCATCCCAGACTCCACCAAACCCCGTCCTGGGCCACCCCAACCCCGTGTGACACCCAGGGGACACCCAGGAGCGAAGCCACCCTTTACCTGCACGATCTCCAGCATCTCCTCGCGGCTGATGTAGCCGTTACCGTCCAGGTCGTACATGCTGAAAGCCCACATGAGTTTCTGCTCCAGCTTCCCGCGGGAGGTGACGCTCAGGGCGATGATGAACTCCCTGAAATCGATGGTGCCGTCGCCGTTGGTGTCGAAAGTGCGGAAAACGTGCTCGGCGAACTTGGAGGCGTCGCCGTAAGGGAAGAAGTTGGCGTAGATCTTCTTGAACTCCTCCACGTTGAGCATCCCCGAGGGACAATCCTTCAGGAASCCTTTGTACCAACCCTGCAGCTCCAGCTCGGAGAATTCCGTGTTTTCCCGCAGGTCCTGGAGCATCTCCGGCCGCAGTTTGCTGTTCTGTTTCCCCATTSCCGGGGTTGGGTGAGGGGCTGGCCCGGCTCGGGGGTCGCGCTGCGCTACAGGAGGAGGGGACAGGGACGGGGCAGAGCTCCCCCGGACACCCGGCCGGACACCGATGCTGCTCCGGCCATCCCCGCCGGCCGCTCTGAGCCGTCGGGGCCGCTCCCGGGGACCACCCAGCGCCGGGCAGCGCCTCCCGTTTGCGTAATAAGCCCTTATAGCTCATTTGCATAATATATAGGTGCTATATAATTGGGATCAGGAGGGCAGAGCAGCCCGGAGGAGGGGAGGGGGTTGGGCTCGGCCCTGCGGAGCGGTTCTGGGTCCGGCCCAGCCTCGGGGYTGGCCGGATCTGGGTCACATCCCCCGGAGGAGGGTTATTTTCAGCTCCTCCGCTGCCTCCGGTTCGTTTTTTGTGCCTCCGGTGAGCACCGGAGCCTCAGGAAGGGCTGGGGGTGGTGACAGATCCCTGCTCGGGGGTCCCTCCCCACCCCGGGGTGCCCAAAGCCCCCCATCCCAGCAGGATCAGCCCCGAGCAGCGCAGAGGGGCCGGGAGGAGGGCAGGGAGGGTGTCCAACCCCTGACCCACCTCCTGCACCCCACACCGTGACCCCTCTGTGGGGTTCGGGGTGTTCCTGGATGCAGCACGGGTTCGGTGCATGGAGCCCAAAATAGGGAGAGGCCCCAGCACCCCAAAATCCCMMAAAATTCCTTTGGATCCTCCCCRAGAGCCAGGACCCYCAATTAGGGGGCGATGGGACCCCACAGAGCGTCCCCATGAACCCCCCGGCTCCGTCCCCGCTCCAGCAGTGTCCCCACCCCACTCAGGGGTCCCCAGTTTTGTCCCCGCCGAGGYTGGCACGACCCCCACCCCACTGCCCGCGGTGTGTGACCCCTCCCCACTGCCCCACCCGTGGGGGGCTCAGCCCAAGCGGGGTCTGCAGTGACCCCAAAAGCGGGCACCGCCTTCAGGGTGACCGGGCAGCCCCGGGAATCCGCTCCGGGCCGGGGGGGCTGCAGGGGATCCCCCCAAACCCCTCGGACATGGGGGGACCCCGGGGTCGCACGGAGGGAGGGTCCCTCCCGCGGTCACCGAGTACCGGACACCCCCGAGAGCAGCGCCGGGGACCGGGGGGGACACGGAGCAKCCCCGAAAATGCGGCGGAGCGGGGGCGGCTCCGCAGCCGCCGGCGGGGACGGACGTGCCCGGGGCTGGCTCGGTGCCCGGGGCTCCCCGGTTCCTCAGTGCCCCCCGGTTCAGCGGGTGCGTGTCCCCCCCGGTCCCCCGGCACCGCCACCTCCTCCCTACCTGCCCGGAGAGCGCCGCTGCCGCCGCCGCCGCCACCGCAGCCCCGGAGCGCCCGCCGGGAGCGCCCGCCGCAGCGCCGGGAGACGGGGGGGC